GTACACGATCCCCAGCTAGTTAAGCAATCATCTCTCACTCCAGTTTAATCTCTAAATATAATTCCTAATTTAGATGATTAATTCCGGTGGTTTGCTTTACCTTTGGTCTACGCAGAATGAATACTATAGAAGTTGTGGGATTTAGATTTCACGTGAGTATATTTCGTAATATCCGTGACCGTCAGCACACTCAGCCTCTTAAAGTGTTTACGCAACTCAAATCTCCAAGGTATGTCCTTGACATCACTACAGACAGATACGCACTCATCTCACTAAATGCACATTTTTATCCCTCTGTGAATAAGCTAATGGTGCATATCCTTCCGGGATCCTAATTGCTGGGGTGCCTCAAATTTTTGACTTGTGAGGAACAGAATAGCCTCAGATTTCTCATGAGCCCATGATCGAATTGCCAAATCACCACTTGCATCCGCAAGAAAGCATGGCAACTATGAAAAGACTGGTCAGGACCTAATGAAGTCCAAAATAACTGACCTTACAAAGGAGAATGAGCAGCCAAAAACCAAGCCAAAGTCTGAGGCCAGTCGGTCGAATTCCCTTATCCTATTTAGTTTACCCACGTGCAATGATAGCTTGCTTCAACAACGGCCCTGTTTGATCAGGAACAGTGGTCCAGTTTGTGCAATATATTAGGTCTAAACACCAATTCAGAAAAACTGTATAGGCTGTACAGGGGGGCTTAGGCACACACCACCTCCATTAGGAGTTATACTGGGCCTCGTCAAAGAGGCTGAGAGAATACTGTTACTGGCTCAATTATTAGGTATCGACAGGAGTTCCAGAGTAAGGGTGAGACATGATGAACCATGGGCTAACAGGCAAATGGTGAGGGAGCCACCGGAACTGAAGCCTTTTACCTCTATAGTTATGCACAGTGTTTCAAGGCTGGAAGGTGGCACTGCTTGAGAAAAAACACATGCATGACGTACAGCAGTGGAGACAGCTGTCATCTGAGATGGTTCTTGGTGCTTCTGGATCAATCTCGATTTTCCGAATACCTCACCCCGCCCATCTCACACTAATTAGTTCACCAAAGCTGCTAGGTATCAAATTCAACTCCCAGGGGCAGTCTGCCGTAGTACTTGAACGATGGTACGAGATCAAAGGTAAATTAAGAGGACACATCCGGTGCTGCAGAAGCAGACCTCAAAACACGAGGAGTGGGCAAAGTGAGGCCTCAGTTACAATATTGCAATGTGGTACTGAGAATGACAGTCAGTGTCTTCCAAGTTTCCTACCCGAATTTAAGGAAAATTAGGCAACGAACCGGCTACATCAGAATCGTGCAGCTAGTATGAATATTAATTCACCTACCAGCAGACAACAAAACGTCAACTACCCCACAACACGCTGAGGTTGTGAGGCTCACTGTAAGCTGCCTTTATAACAATGTAGGAGGGTTGAGAGGGAAAGTAGATGAACCCAGAATCCTTCGGTCACAGGTAGACCTGAAAACAATGATCCTCACTGAAACCTGGTTGACTCCACCATCGCCTACAAAGAAATCAGTATGACTGATATAATTCTGGTCAGGAGAGACAGGGATAACCAAGAAGAGTGAGGTCGCCATATTCCTTGACAAGCAACTTAAATGTGTGCATGCAGAGGACTCACTACTTACTGAACTCCTAGACTCCATATGTTGTCGTTTCACCGTAAGCCATACCAAGCATTTACCAGGTGGCATCTATCGGTCATCCACTTGTGGGGTAGAGCACAACCAGCTGCTGCTCAGCACCATCACAGTGATGCGGAACTTGGATGTAGGCCAAGTCACAGTAGCTGGAGAAATCAATGCCTAATCACCGAACCTCCGGCTACCGATTTCACATGCTGAAAATTCCATACTTGTACCAAGAATACAGTATGGAATCAAGCTGTAATCGAAAATAAAAAAATAAAATACAAACTTTTGGAAATACAGGATTGAATGAGAATATTGGGGACGACACTAGGTGAGGTCCTAGTGGAAAGTCATCGAAACTAGTTAACATTCTAACTAGTGACCAGCTACCCATCAAAAATGTCCAGATCATGACTCCTATAGGAATTAGCAACGATGCAGTCGTGGGATTCGATCTTATTCTCCGTGAGCACTTGCAGTGGGATGTAACGCGACCATGTCTGTGCCATAGCAAGGCGGACTATGTTGAAATGCTCAGGCTTTTGTCCGACGCAGAATGGCCCTTAGCATGGTATGAGTTATCTGTGGATGAACAATGGGAAGCGTTGAGAGATTATTCACACGCTGTCAGTGTCCAGGTCCTACTACACTGGACCTTACGCTGTCCCCGGAAGACGTTCACAAACAGTTTGTGGTAACCTAAGTGAAAAACCAGAACACAGATTGGCGACTATAGAATCCTTCATTCTTACGCCAACATGTAACCAACAATAAGGTTATTATACACAAGGTCTAAGAATAAATTTTATAACAATAAATCATGATAGTTTTCTCTCTTCCACTGAACAGCGAACGATGAGACAATGACTGCCGTATTGATGACTCCCGCGAAAAATATGGAGGAGTTGGGTTTGAGCAAACAACCATGAATTGATAGTTCAGTCTTCAACTACACTGACACAGGCAATAGCGGATACTATACCTTTAGTCGCAACACAGTCCAAAAAGGTCATCAAGAATGATGAATTGTACGCAAGGTATTCTTCAAGCAAAGCTGAAGACTTGGTTTACGTGACGAGTATCCAAGAGTCAGACCGACCACGATGCATGCCTGGAACTAAGGGACCAGTGCAACGTGAGAGCCAAGAGTGACAGGTCATTTCAGACTAACCATGCAGAAGAAAGCTTGTACTGATTCATGTCGGAAAGAAAACCAACCAACAAGCAGGCATGCGCCTTATTAGGTCCGAACAGTCAATACCTCATTAGCCTGGAGATTGCTGAAACACTCAGTTTAGCCTTATCCAAACACCTAAAGAGCAATGCGTGTATTACTAGTACGGACCAAAATGGTGGCACCAGTATTTCACAGGAGGAAGACCTAGTGGCTACTCCCCGAATAAACCCCGCAATAGTACTAAGGAAGCTACAGCGACTCACACCCGAGAATTCCCCAGGTTGTGACGACATCAGGCCATCTGTTCTGAAACAGTGTGCCGAAGCTCTCTGTAGGCTCTTGTGCGACTTGTTTCAACACTCAATGGATATTCGGAAACTGTCAGGCGGGTGGGAAAGAGACATCCTTTCTCCGATCTTCAAACGTGGATATGGGCAAAATACCACCACTTATATGCCGGTAGCCCTACTCCCAGTGGTGTCAAAAGTACTGGAAATTATTATTAGTGATCACATTGGGGAGCACCTGCATGGGACTAATAGACACCATAAAGTGCAACATGGATTCAGGAGAAGTAGATCATGTGTAACAAACCTACTATCAGCTTGGGACGATTGGATATCATGCTAGGATATGAATGTCCGAGTTCTGGTGGTCCTCCTAGACCTAGAGAAGCCATTTGACACAGTTCACCATGGCCTTCTCCTACACAAAATAAGTCAGGCAGGCATAAGTGAACTGCTCCTGTCATGGTTGAAGGACTCTTTAGTTAAAAGGAAATTTCGCACTAAGATCAATAGAGTCCGATCATCTTGGCACGGCTCATCGCCAGGAGTGTCTCAGGGTTCGATCCTTGGACCACTGATATTTTTGATTTTTATCAATACCTACCATGCCGTCTACGCTGCCTGACTCTTCTATACGCTGACGACGTAAAGATATGGACGGCAATAAATTGTTCAGAAGACGAGGATAGGCTGCAGACGGATCGAAAGCTTCTGGAAGATATGGCGATGGCCAATGGTATGACTTTCAACCTGAAAAGTGCAGTGGAGAAATTACGCACCCGTACACTGCGGAATGCAAGTCATACTCTGTGCAACGAAAGCTTGTCCTGTGCGACGTTCGAGCGTGAGTTAGGTCTAGTTCTAACAGAAAATATGGACACAAGCGTGAATTACACTGAGGATGTAGCGAGGGCACATGCGGTCATACGCTTTACACAAAGACAGTAAGGTGCACTCACTCCTGAGCTCTTTCTTAGGTTGTACAAAACATACTACAGACTACACTTTCAAGTGCATAATACCACCATACCCCCTGCTGCTTGGAAAAGGCACAAATCCCTTGGAAAGAGTTCAAAGACGGGCGACAAAATGACCATAATCACCCAATATGTACATATGGGCTTCCTCGTGGGAATCCTCGAAGGACGGCCCTCCAGATGGCAAGGACCCAGGTGCGCTCCCACTTCTTTTCACTTAGGTTTGGCCGTCCCTAGACTCCTTACCAGCAGATGTAGCTACGGCGCCATCTAAGGACAGCTTCAAACGAAAGCTGAACAACCATGAAGTGGGACAAATACTGCGTTCAAGTGGCCTATTCCCTTAAAACTCCATGCACCATTCATCGGTACACAACTAAATTCGTCGTCTTACTTCTTTACATTCTCTCCCGTCTCTCTCTCTCCAGACAACTCCAACTGATACACTAACGCTTATTATTATTACTGATGTCATATACATATATATTTATGAATGCATAAATAGCAACTTCTAATTCAGATGGCTGTCTGATTTTACGTTTTCTTCATATCTTTGTCTTTTAGTATGAATTACCTACACTAATAATGTGTTATTATTATTACTATATCTTTTCATTTTACGCAGATAACGGAGGACTAGCTGGTGAAGGGATCAACTCCGTTCACAACAGTAACAAAGTCTCGGCACACGGCATACCACAAACAACATATAATTAATCCCAGCACCACTAATTTGGGAGTCAACCAAAGCTACAACAGTCATGTGCCGGGGCGAACTACGCAAAATTCCACCGAATACCAGGAACCTTAAACTCGCAATGAAGAAGCAAGCAGAAAGAAATCAAACTGGTTCATACTAGCCCGTAAAATTGGTATTGGATATTGAAATGATGAAGGTCAACTGAGCATTGTCTAAATACCGTTGTTCCGAAAGTAGCTTGACCTTGACGACGTGTTTCTAGTCTGCGTTATCGCTATGCCAGATGAAATAGATGATTCCCTTTACAGGTTCAGTCCTCTAAATTAATAATTCCCTATTACAGTCGCCAAAGATGTGTCCTAGGCGATAATGCTATGCAGAAAATGTCTAAATCCCGAGTATTTTTGCTTGGACTTGGAGGTGTTGGTATAGAAATAGGTAAATCTTCCTAAATATAATTAACTGCCAAAGCCAAAAATTTAATACTTGCTGGAATTGGTGAAATTGTTATCCAGGACTACTCCTTTTGCACTCAGGAGGACTTGGGAACCCAATTTTACGTTCAAGAGTCAGATGTAATCGCTGCAAAAACCAGGTAATTACAATATACTCCAGGTAGACATTACTCTTTTTTCTTCCGTACCCTGGTGCCACAGAATAACTTTCTCACACCTCGCCTAATTTTTTAAATTGCTTGTGTTAATCACGTGTGACAAAGAACATTATTAATTAATAATTAATTATAATAATTAATTATTTCTTACTACCAGTGTTTCCGATTTCGTCTTACTTCTGGGAACACCTTTGTTCTGTTCTGTATCTTTGTAGGTAATATGAACCACATACGATTTTATTAAAACTTGTTTCGTATGGAAATCATGCAAAATGATATTAATACCACGCGCTATATTGTTATTCAATATTTTATTTCTTATCCTATCATTACTATATGTCATGCTACTGACTGAAGCAGTTAGCTACGTCTCTCTTTAAACCAAATCAGTTAACTGCAGCTGTACAATCCTATTTGTTGTGAGAAATGGCTTTTGCTTTTATATAAATTACACCGGCAGTTTTGTAACGATAGATTTTGTTTTCATATTAGTTTGTTTATTAGATATATCACACAGTGAAACAGTATTGTTTACTGGATAATAACAATAAATAATGCTGTTTCACTGTGTGATATGTCTTATAAACAAACTAATATGGAATTACTTACTAACACACTGCCCAAGTTTAACGCATACAGATTTTGTTTCCTCTGTTTATTTTAGGGCCCAAGCAAGCCTCGGTCAACTCTCTACTTTGAATCCATATGTTCAAATCACTGTGGCGTCAAATGATGTGACAAAAATTCGTTGCCCATTATCTGATCCAGAAAACAAAAACATTCTCAAACCACTAGTGGACGAAGATTCATCCACTAGAGTTGATGTAAGTATAATTGATCCTATTGGTATTCCTTTATTTTCTGCATGTTTCTTAAAAATTGTTTTGTTTTTTCTTTTTTGGGGCGCTTGCCTTTAGGATGGTCTGTATTCAGAGAGAAATAGTTTTAATAAAACTATATTTTACCTCAATTTATTCCTTAGTAATTAAGATACTATGGTACGGACTGTGAGTTGGTGCCACCTTCACAGCCAAGACATGTTAAATGACTTATAATGTAGATTTGTCCCTGGCTACACTTGTTTATGACCGTTTCTGGAAAGAACGCGTTAATTGGAAGCATTTACTAGTAATCAATGACGTGATAACTCACTCTTACATTTTTACATAGCTTTGAAGGGATTAAGAAGAATAAGGGCCTAGAAAATAAGTTAATACTATTATTTTCAATTAAGGACCGCTAGTTAGAAAGCAGAGATGAGAATTGTATACTAACATTTCCATGACATTGGTGATTATAATACCAGTAGCAGAACATCGGTCTCATTGCAGCCTTTTCGAGAACTAAGCAATGTCACATGTTGCCTGGTGAGTAGTTATCATGTTACCTGTGTGGTAATGATAATGCAATCCACCCATCAGTTTTAGAATTTCAACTTCAGGCAGGTTTAGTTCTTAAGGCAAACATGAATTCGCTCAAACTATCAGAATTTGTCACCAGCGAGTTGTGTAGCAGTATTATTTCACTAGTCTTCGGAACATTGTGAAGCGTGACCTATTAAATTGCCATAAGTAGGTTTAAATACAATGTGGTACCCATGTATGTGCAAATTCTGGCAGAAATTAAAGGATTTTGGTTACCTGAGTATTGTTCATTTCAGTACACAGTATCTTTACACAAGAGATGTGGTTTTCTGCGTCTGTTTTTACTTCAGTCATCCTTTCTCTGCAGCACTGATTTATTCCTGCTTACCTCAGGATTATTTTATTTTCTAGTTATATGCTTAGAATTAAAGCAAAGGACACTAATCCTATTTTGGCTCACTACTGATTGCGGAAACGCACATCACTCTCATCACGTCAAACTACTGTTTTTTGCCGGGTCGCTGAAGCAGTATGTATTTTATTTTTATGTATTTCATTTAATCCTGCAAATTTCTTCTTTCCTGCTCTGTCGAAATTTATCAAGGTAGCTGAATGCAGGATGTCAGTTTTGCTCAAAATGTTGCTTAGTAGTAATTCCATATTAGTTTGTTTATTAGATGTGTCACACAGGGAAACATTAATTTTTACTGGATGACGTTTCGAACAAAATTTATTGTTCATAATCATATCAATTATAATCACACGATTTGAAAACTTGAGTTTTATAGTTTTCTTGTTCTCTCCTATTGTCCTAGGGGTAGTGTAATTTTCCAGATATCCGGGTGAACAGGTGTTGAATCATTCCTATCACACGTGTTTGCAGTTGATTCGAAAAATGAAGCTTCCGTTATCAATCTCTCCCTCCACTCTGTTACATTAGGTTTTAAAACTGTCATCTTATTCCACCCATCCTATTGTATGGTTGTGTGTAATTGCATGCAGTGAGCGGTATAGCTGAACTATTCTCCAGATTTCTTATCTTATTCGGGTCAACTAATGTATATTTGCTAGGTTTTATGCTCGACTGGTCTGACTGCTCCTGTTCTATCAGTTTGATCTCTGTATTCGACCTGACAATCATTCCAGCAGGGTATTAGATAAACTAAATTGTTTTGTTTTAACGGCTCCACAGGATTGATCCTTTAACCGACAAAGCTTGTTTCTAACTGAGTTTGTGGTTGGTTTGAATTCCAGTGACTTTTATTCCCGCCTTGTTAAGAATTCTGCGTAAAGTTTCCAAGGTTCTTTCCTTGTATGGAATTACTACTGATGATTTAGATTCCTTATTGTTGGTGTTGTCATTATCCTGTTCATGTTTGACATATATGTTGTCATTAATATTACTATTATTATTATTCGGGCAAACGTTCGACACAGATTAAGCCAATAAAGGACGAAAATGGAAAGTCAATCACCAAAGAGGTGGAACAGAGAAAGCACTGGGCTGAACACTTCAAAAACTTCTAAATCGTCCGCCACCTACAACACGCCCAGCAATACCAACAACGGAAGCAGAACTACCAGTGAACATCGACCCCCCGACGAAACCAGAAGTCCTGAATGCCATCAAGATGCTTAAAGCTGGGAAAACACCGGGACCAGATGGAATCTCAGCAGAAGCTTTGGAAATGGACCCAGAGACAACAGCGGACTTGATGACACCACTGCTGGAGAAGGTGTGGAAAGAGGGCAAAGTACCCGAGGATTGGAAGAACGGATACTTATTCAAACTTCCAAAGAAAGGAGACTTAAGTCAATGTAAAAACTGGCGTGGAATTATGCTCTTGTCCATTCCAAGCAAGATACTAAGTCGCATCATCCTGGCGAGAATCAAACAAGCCCTAGATGAAAAACTTCGTCCGGAACAGGCCGGATTCAGGAGAAACAAATCATGTATTGATCAAATCGCCACTCTACGGATCATCATTGAACAAAGCTTGGAATGGCAGTCACCTCTCTATCTCAACTTCATCGACTTTGAAAAGGCCTTCGACAGCGTCGACCGAGAGGTCATTTGGAAACTACTTCGCTACTACGGGGTCCCATCGACAATTATACATCTCATCCAACAGTTATACGACAATGCTGCATGGCAAGTAATCCACAACGGGAAACTTACGGAAGCCTTCGAAGTGAGGACGAGGGTAAGGCAAGGCTGCCTACTATCGCCAATGATCTTCCTGATTGCAATTGATTGGATAATGCGACAGACAACGGCAACCAACGAGGGAACAGGCATAAAATGGACTGACACGAAAGACTTGGAGGATCTGGATTTCGCCGATGATATATGTCTGATTTCCGATAAACTGGAAGATATGCAAGTGAAAAGTAACAAGTTGGCAGAAGAGGCATCAAAGATAGGACTTCACGTGAACATAGATAAAACAGAAGTGATGAAGATTCCTAGCCAACACCACCACCACCAACAACAACAACAGACAACAATCAGCATAAGTGGGAAGAACCTGAAAGAAACAACCTCCTTCACCTACCTGGGAAGCGTCGTCTCAACTACAGGCGGAACTGACGAGGACATCAAAGCCAGAATCGGAAAAGCAAGACAAGATTTCATTACTCTCAAATCTGTGTGGAGGTCAACAGCACTCACCATCAAAAATAAGATCCGGATTTTCAACTCCAATGTGAAGTCAGTGCTACCATACGGATCAGAGACTTGGCGAGTCATAAAGAGCATCTCAAACAAACTTCAAACCTTCATTAACAACTGTCTCCGCTCAATACTCAAGATCATATGGCCAGAAAAGATCAGCAACAGGGATCTCTGGGAGCGAACCAATCAGGAACCGATTGTGAAACAAATAGGCAGAAAGAAATGGAGATGGATTGGCCATACGCTGAGGAAACCATCAAGTGACATCACTAGACAAGCCCTCGAGTGGAACTCGAACGGGAGGCGGCGAGTTGGTCGTCAGTGTGAGGGTGACTTGGAGGAGGTCATGCGAGGAGGAGATGAAAGCATGTGGACAGACCTGGAGCAGGGTGAAAAAGTTGTCAGAAAACCGAAGGCATTGGAGGTGCGCAGCTGAAGCCCTATGTTCCTCTAGGAACTAAAGGATACAATAATAATAATAATTATTATTACTATCATTATTATTATTATCAATATCACTACTATCATTACTTATTTTACTTTTACATTTCCCTACATAATTTGTGACTAATTTATCAGGGTAATTATTAAGTTTCAAGGCTTCTTTTATATGTCTCACTCCCTGTCTTAGATTCCCCTTGATACTACTTAGTTTTTATGCTCTGTCATTTGAACATTTCACCAATCCTATTTTTACTGACATAGGATGGGATGATCTGAAGTCAGAATATATTTTTGAATGTGTGGGTTTCCTGTAAACACTAGTGTTTAGCTTCCCATCTTTCTTTTTTACGCTGCAATCTAACATTGGAAGCTCTTCTTCCTGACTTTCCAATTCATTAGTGAATTGATTTACCTCCATCTTTAAGTTGATGTGTTCGAAAATCCTGCTACCTCTACGACAAATAGAAGAGGACAAGGAAAACTATAAAATTCAAGTTTCAAAGTCGTGCTATTATAATTGATATGATTATGAACAGTAAATTTTGTTCGAAACGTCATCCAGTAAAAATTATTGTTTCCCTGTGTGATACGTCTAATAAACAAACTAATATGGAATTACTTACTACCGCAGTACCTTAGATTTACACATATATTAAAAAGTAGGCGATTGGCAACTTCAGACAACTATTTATACTTCCTTATCAGGGAAACAGGTGGTTAAAGGCAAATGATAAGTGAAACAATCTCTGAGAAAAATGACACCATAATTAGCTCCCAGGATAGACGACTGGAACGCTAGAACGAGCAGTTTAATTGGCCCACAGCCACACTCAACTTACCGAACATCCAACACCTCCCTAAATGGCATACAAACACAGGTCCTTCTTTTCTAACTGAGGTTACTAAGGCTGTCACTGGTCTGAAACGAAGCAAAGCAGCAGGACCTGATCGAATGACTCCAGAGGTATTTAAGTGCGGTGGAGGAAGTTCACTGTCTGCATTAACTAAGATATTAGACAGCGTCTGGGAATCAGAGTAAGTCCCGTCGGGTTGGTGTAAGTCACTGATTATCCCGATATACAAGAAGGGAGACAAGTCTTCCTGTGATAATCACAGAGGGATTAGCTTGACTTATATAATATCTAAAGTCCTTAGCTCAATAATCATGCGTAGACTGAGTGGTGCTAGGGAGGCATAAACACGAAAGAACCAAGGAGGCTTTAGACCAGGAAGAGGGTGTATTGATCATATCTTCACCCTCCGACATTCTAGAACATAGGCATTCTTACCGGCTTCCAACAATGTTATTTTTCTTGACCTAAAGGTGGCATTCGATTCTGTCGACCTAGAAATACTATGGCGATGCTTAGCCGTAAAGGGAATGCCGACGACTAGTGGTGTCCGTCAGGGATGCCCATTATCTCCATTTCTATTCAATTTCATCATAGATGTACTAATGGACTTAACCCTAAGTGACTTCAGCGACTCAGGGATTGACTTGATACCAGGGAATAATCTCGTTGACTTAGAATATGCGGACGATATAGTCCTTCTAGACGAGTACGCTGAAAAAATGCAGAGTCTTCTGAACACCTTGAGCTGAAATCTACGAATGTTTGGCATTCGATTCGCTCCTGCCAAACGTAAGATTATGAAGCTACAGGACTGGACTACACTGACTCCTAGTTTAGAAATAGGAAGTGAAGTGGTAGAGCACGTTGACCGCTTCACTTATTGGGGAAGTTGCATCAACCCCAATGGGTTAATCTCTGATGAAATCTCAGCACGGTTACAGAGGGCTAGTTTCGCACATGCCAGTTTACGCCGTCTCTGGCGTAGACGTGACACCAGGCTGGCTGTCGACCAAAGGTAATGTGCACTGCACAGCAGTCTGATCCGTCCTTCTTTATGGCTGTGAGACCTGGCCATTGAGAGTGGAAGACATGAAAAGGCTAGTTGTTTTTGATCATAGGTGCATGGATTCATTCTCCTATGTTAAATGGTATAAGAAGGTGAGCAGTATTGAGGTTAGGCGTCGGTCGAGTGCTAGGTAAGAAGGGGGAAATCGATTGAAATGGATAGGACATTTGTTACGTATGCCTAGCTATCGCCTCCCTCGACGAGCAATGTTAGTCAGCTGACATATAGTGAGGTTGGAAAATAGCCGTTGGTGGTCAAACTAAAACATTATTTCACCAGTCAATCAAATCCACAACAGTTAGTCTAAGCCAGTCACGTAGGAAGGTATAGACTCCCTGACTGGTTGGGTTCCTCGGGACAGTAAAATCCAATAGCTGGAAACAGTTGGTGACATGACCCAAAATCGTTATCAATGTCTGGCGCAGATGCATCCACTCCTTGTGACTTATGATTTCTAATGAAACTGTTTTGTTCTTCGTTATTACTATTCCTTTGTCTCACACCTCTGTTTACTGTCTCTATTATGCATTTCTTGTACTTTCTTGTCTTGCTTTGTGTGCCTAATGGAGTGGAGTGTGGTGACTCGAACTGCTACACATCGATGCGAATTTCTATTTTGAAGCTAGTCAATCTGTAAGTCAGTTATTCCTGTAAGAAGCCGTCCTGTGGAGTTTCTGTTCCGAGCACTCTTGTCTGACTTGGAATGATTTGAAAAACGGAGGTAATCTCTCTAGGACCTAGCGCTGTAAAATAAGGGACAAATGAGCCCTGCTTAAATCAGCTTGTGAAACGCTTTCCCTCGGTCGGTTAGACAGATAAACTTGAAAAACATTTCATATGATAACCGAATGATTCTCATTCAATAATCATAATTTCAGCTCATTCTTATTATAGTGCGACGACCTATCTTTGTCAACACGGCAGTTGTTGTTGCTGTTGTTGGTTCCTGTGTGGTCAAGAATAAAACACCTTTTATGAATATTCATTATTATTCGCTTCTAATCGCAGTTAATTATCTCTATTTAATCTAGTTTCTTTTTCACTAAAATGGTGATTTTTTCTCATCATTTTATCAGTGTTTAATACTCACTCAATGTTCAATTCATCAGGCTACATTGTTAAATCTATTCTGTAGAATACATAATATTAAGGTGAGTTCTTCAAGAAATATCATGTAGTTAAATATTGTTTGTTACTGTGCCTAGGCTAAATTGTGATATTGTGGCTTTCCGTTTGGAAAAAAGTCGAAGTAGAGTGTCGTATTCCATCAGCAAGCACTTCTGAAGGTAAACACCCGTGAGGTAGGCGTACTTTTAATCTCCAGACAATGGACAATAGTACTAAGCTGCCTAGTGTTTTAAACTTGTATTGTTTTTTCATCAAGTCTGAAAATGTTTTTACTGTGCTGTGTTTGTAATAAATGAATTCAGGCGTCTTAACTACCTGTAAGACACTAATCAGTATTGTTTCATTTGGACAGTCAGTACTTGTCGAAGTTTATTTACTAGGGGAACTGGACGTTACATACAAATTGACGTATATATATTGTTAAAGTACACTGCATTGAGTTCAGTTACCAGCTTGCTGTTCAACAGGTTATATTCATTAACGACTTATAATCGCCTGTATGTTTGAAAGGTAGCGCTATTGATGATCTGTATTCCTTGGGAATCTACTTTAGCTAAGAATATACCTTTATTATTATTATTATTGTGATTGCATAATTTGATTTGAGTAGTCGTTAATCAGTAGCTATGGTGGATATAACTTGTCCTTTATAAAACTACAATAAAAGGCACCAAGTCACATATGTTGCTCATAATTCATGATCTGGAGTATCGTCAATTAAAATACATAACCCACGGGACTGATAAACAGCGTGTGTAAGTAATATGTTTACATTAATTTGTAAATTTTCTGACTTGTGAATAGATTTTCACTATTCTAATCATTGTTATATAAGAACTCAGCTTTAAGTGAAAATAAGTTTCTTTTTCCTCTGATAGTTTATTTATACAGACGTATATGGAGTATTTGGAAACCTCTTTTGTGATTTTGGTTCGAAGTTCACTGTTTCAATACCAGACGATGAACCAGCTAAAGAGCTTTTTATTGGACAAATTGAAAAAGTACGTACATATATTATATCATATTGCATTATATTATTATTGTTGTTTTCACTATTATCATTGTTATTATTCCTCTATTTTCCCAGTGGAACATAGGGAATTGAGTAGCATATCTCCGTCCCACTCTATTCTCTGCAGTTCTTTATTTTCTGACTCCACAATTACCCATTTCTTCTGAACACAGTCTATCCCATTCTCTGCTCGAACGTACACCTCACTGCTGCTTCCTATTTTGGTTGCACTCAGTCTCCGTAGCGTATGTCCAATCCATCTCTAGTTTTTTCGGTATAATTTGTTGATCAATATGTTCTCCGTTGGTTCGTTGCCAGAATTCCATGTTGCTAATGCTTTCTGGCCATTTGATCTTCAATATAATAACTAATAGGTCAGAAACCATCAAGTTTTCCAAAGAGATTGAACTCGACGAAAATGATTTGACGTTCCTGGACTGTTTAGTACAAAAAAAAAAACAACTAGATGGTAAATTTAAAAGTAACATTTTCAGAAAGCCGACCAAATTCAGAGAGATATCTAGACTACTACTATTCAACACACTCCTTTACCACCAAAGTAATATTGGCCAAGAATCTGATTAACAGGGCCAAACGTCTAGTTACTGTGGTGGAAGAGATTAACAAGGAATTAAAATTGGTTCAGTCCACTCTTGAATCAAAATAATTATCCTAGATCCTTCATAAAGTGATATTTAAAATGTGAAGATGAGGATGGATTGAAACCTGTTGCTAAAAATTGGGTTAGTACAGCAGTGATTCTTTACCGCAAAGAAACATCAGATGAGATAAAGCGAATCCTTAACGATCATAACATAAGAGTGTAACTAACACCTTATGGTCATCACTGGTGAAGGTTAAGGATAAAATAGAAGAAGAAAACCAACATAATTGTGTATATCAGATCAGCTGAGGGGACTGTAACGTCGGATATTTAGGAGAAACTTCCAGACGGGTAAATATAAGAGTGAAAGAGCTTAAACATTGTCTAAAGGTGGTTTCAAAGACGTCTGCAGACTTAAAGAAGCTAGAAAACAGATCAGCGATTGCACTGCGTTCGGTAGAAACGGGACACAAAATGGACTTTGATAGGACTAAGATTCTACAGAAACATTTTGGTTCGTTTAAAGAAAGATTGACTGCGGAAGCCCTACACATATGGGTGAATCCCAACAGTTTGAACAGGCGTGAAGGTGTGATTTTAGCCGATCCATGGCAAATCCTGATTAATAAATAAAAAATAGAAATGTATCCATGATTAATCATACTTGGTCCAAATTCCTGATTGTCTATATCTTCTTATGGAGGGGCTGTTTACCCACACACACACTATTGCATACTGCATATATACACATATATTTTAATATTCAGTTATCTACGACCATGAAAGTAACCTAATCTGATAAAAAGTACGCTCTGTTTAAATTGTTTAACAAAAGTAGACTAATTTTGAAAGTCTCAGGTCAGATTTTCATCACAGTTCTTACAATTTTGTATATTATACATGTTGATACATGTTTCATGACTCGTGATCGGACTAAGTTTCAAAAAACAAGATATGTCCTTTTATATATAAACCTCTGTTATGTTGATTTCGATTAATTTCCCTGAAGAAGTTCGGACCAGATTGCCGAACGAAATGTTGGAATTGATCATTTCAATTTCGCTGAGATTTTACAAATATAATTTTTACAAATGCTTACTTCTCACTGGGCGCTCAATTATTTTGGAACTATTCGGTCAAATCTTGATCACACTTCATATGAAAATTTAATATTATTCACAATCATATCAATTATAGTCACACGATTTGAAAACTTGAGTTTTATAGTTTTCTTGTTCTCTCCTATTGTCCTAGGGGTAGTGTAATTTTCCAGATATCCGGGTGAACAGGTGTTGAATCATTCCTATCACACGTGTTTGCAGTTGATTCGAAAAATGAAGCTTCCGTTATCAATCTCTCCCTCCACTCTGTTACATTAGGTTTTAAAACTGTCATCTTATTCCACCCATCCTATTGTATGGTTGTGTGTAATTGCATGCAGTGAGCGGTATAGCTGAACTATTCTCCAGATTTCTTATCTTATTCGGGTCAACTAATGTATATTTGCTAGGTTTTATGCTCGACTGGTCTGACTGCTCCTGTTCTATCAGTTTGATCTCTGTATTCGACCTGACAATCATTCCAGCAGGGTATTAGATAAACTAAATTGTTTTGTTTTAACGGCTCCACAGGATTGATCCTTTAACCGACAAAGCTTGTTTCTAACTGAGTTTGTGGTTGGTTTGAATTCCAGCGACTTTTATTCCCGCCTTGTTAAGAATTCTGCGTAAAGTTTCCAAGGTTCTTTCCTTGTATGGAATTACTACTGATGATTTAGATTCCTTATTGTTGGTGTTGTCATTATCCTGTTCATGTTTGACATATATGTTGTCATTAATATTACTATTATTATTACTATCATTATTATTATTATCAATATCACTACTATCATTACTTATTTTACTTTTACATTTCCCTACATAATTTGTGACTAATTTATCAGGGTAATTATTAAGTTTCAAGGCTTCTTTTATATGTCTCACTCCCTGTCTTAGATTCCCCTTGATACTACTTAGTTTTTATGCTCTGTCATTTGAACATTTCACCAATCCTATTTTTACTGACATAGGATGGGATGATCTGAAGTCAGAATATATTTTTGAATGTGTGGGTTTCCTGTAAACACTAGTGTTTAGCTTCCCATCTTTCTTTTTTACGCTGCAATCTAACATTGGAAGCTCTTCTTCCTGACTTTCCAATTCATTAGTGAATTGATTTACCTCCATCTTTAAGTTGATGTGTTCGAAAATTCTATCTCTATCTTGTGTTCTAAGTACAGTGAATGTGTCATATACATACCTCCACCATACTTTCGGGGTGGGGGTGAAAGTTTCAATCGCTATGCTTTCCCACATATCCATGAATATATCTGCTACAACTGGGGATATTGGTGACCCCGTGGCAACTCCCTCAGTTTGTTTGTATATTTTCCCCTGTAATTTAAATACTGTGGAAGTTAGACATAACTGCATTCCCAGCATTATGTCCTCAAGTGGCACTTTTGTCCTAAGTTCGGGTTCTTGGTCAGAAATGAGTTCGTCTCTGACTACCTCTATAGCCATATTTATTGGTATACGTTCATATACACTGACAATGTCAAAACTAACCATTTTTTCTTCATTATCTAATTTCAACTAATCTAATCTATGTTTTTTTCGTTCATAAGAATTTGTTAGTCTAGAAATTCACTGGCTTTCAAGGGGATTCAATAACATGGCTAATTATTTAGATAATTCATAAGTAGGTGAATTTCTAAAATCAACTATAGGCCTAATAGGGTATCCTGATTTTTGAACTTTAACAACACCATACATCCTACTGGGGTTATTAGTTTTGGGCATTGAATTACACCACTTAGACTCATCTAGAAATGGCTTCATTCGACGTATAAGGTCCGCTGTGGATTTCTTAACCTTATTCAAAATGGTGTCTGTTGATTTATTAATTTCGTCATATGGTCCAGTTTGTATGTGAGTATTTACCTTGTCCAAATGGTCTGATTTGTCTAATACTACTACTGTTGCGTTTCCTTTGTCTGACTTTGTGATTACTATATCCTTGTTATTCTTGAGTTGTTTCAGGGCTTCTATCTCTTGTTTTGTCAGGTTAGGCTTTCCACATTTTTGTCGTTTTAATGTAAGTGCACATTGTGTCCGTACTTCATCAGCCGTTGTTTTGTCTATCCCACTGAGTGCTATTTTTATTTTAGGGATGGCATCCTCAGGTTTCAGCTTGTCTACGAATTTAAGTATGTGACCCATCCAGCTAAACTTATTTTCATAGAGAAAACGAGAACTATGCTGTCCTGTAAACCTCCACATTATCTGAACCATAGTGTCACCTCCCATTAGTTTTATCAATTTACATGTATGTGTGGCGACACGCACATAGGGAGGACCCATCGGTTTCTGCAGGTTAGGGCTACAGAACACGTTCCAAACTGGCTGCAACAACAAAGAAAATTGCCAGACACACGTGACCTCGGAAATAGATGTTCACAATCATCTATAGCGAAGCATATTAGAGAGACGAGTCATAAGACTGATTTCAACAGTATCTTTAAGCCCATATATAAAACACATCTGTCTGTCTGTTTTCGACATAGAACTTTGCACAAATGTGCGGAAGTTCAAGTCGCCACATTCCGTGTAGCACGCGAAGCAAGAGAAGAAAGTACAAGAAAAGCATAATAGAAACAGTGAGCAGAGGTGTGAGACAAAGGAGTAATAAAGAAATACAAAACAGTTTCATTGAAGATCATAAGTCACAGGGAGTGGATGCATCTGCGCCACTGAGAACGGTTTTGAGCCATGTCACCAATTGTTTCCAACCATAGATTTTTACCGTCCCGAGGACCCCAGCCTGGAAGTCTACACCTTTCTACGTGGCTTAGACCAACTGTTGTGGATTTCATTGACTGATGCCAAGTTTTTGTTTGACCGCCGCTAGCTTTTTTCCAGCCTGACCCTATATCCGCTAACATTGCTCGTCGAGGGAGGCGATGACTTGGCATACGTAACACATGTCCTAACCATCTCAGTCGATGTAGCTTCACGACTTCGTCGATTGATTTCCCCTGTTTACCTAGAACTCTACGCCTAACCTCCATGTTGCTCACCTTATTATGCCACTTTACACGGGAAATAGAACGCAGGCACCTATGATCAAAGACAGCTAGTCTTTTCATGTCTTCCACTCTCAGTGGCCAGGTCTCACAACCATAAAGGAGGACGGAGCGGACTGATGAGCAGTACACCCGCCCTTTGGTCGATAGTCGAACATCTCGTCTACGCCAGAGTCGGCGTAAACTAACAAATGCGAAACGAGCCCCTTGTATTCGTGCTGAGATTTCGTCAGAGATCAGCCCGTTGGGGCTGATGGTACTT